TGATACATTGGCAAGCTATCATATGCAAGATTTATAAATGTGTACGTGTGTATACATTGTCTGGAACAACAAGAGCAAGAAGTATCTTATAGATTCATAACTCTCTATAATAATCCAGTTATAAATTGAAAATCCTTTGGGGAATATAGGGCAGTTGGGCAAAATGTTTATTTTTAAAGAAAAACTGGCATATTTATGCTTAAAAAATTAGAAAAAAACTTCAAACGGAAAAAAAAAAAAAAGAGCTTAGTTGGGGTTGGGACGAACATTGCCTGAACATGAAAGAAGAATGTTTTGCCTGTTACATAGCTCTCTGCAACATAGAAGACAGTGATATTACAGAACTGCGTTCATAGTGAACACGCAGTTCTGTTTTATTTTTATTTTACTTAATAGGGGTAATATTCATCTTTGCTCTTCCGTGGTCTCTGTCCATCAGCTGCTCAAACCAGAATGCTGACTCAACCATGGCTTTCTCCCCTCCTTCTCTGGCCACATCTGGTGATTCGCCAGTCCTGTCAGGTCTACTTACCTTCCCTCATATGAGGCCTTCCTCTCCCCTTCCGTACTCCACTCAGGCCCTCGTCTTTCTCACCCTAATGCCTTAGTCATCTCTTATTCTGCTAGTCCTTCTATGCATGTTATCAGTCACCTTTCTACAGCGCATTTATTATTTGAGTGTCTGATCAGGAAGCAGTATAGCACCCACTCCAGAGAAACCTTGAAGACTGCCTAAAAAGAGTATGGGGCCAGTAGGCGGACTGGTAGTTAAGGTACTGGAGTCCCACATGACTGACATATGTATGTGTGTGCCCGAACCCAAAGAGGATAATGGAGGACAAGGGACTGCATTGTGGCCATCCTTCTTAGGGAGTGATTTCTCACTTTCCCTCGTTCTGTCTCTCTCCAATGCATGCACTCTGTGGCAAAAACCAAAAAAAAAAAAAAAAAAATTAGAAAAAAGAAAAGTAGAGCATTTCTTATAGTCAGGTAGCTCAGAAACTTTGTAGGAATAAAGTTATCCAAACTCCAAATACTTATCTTAGCTACTCAAAGTCACTAAAGCCTGTTAGCTTGGACTGGTTGATCTTGACAGGTCTCAGTGGTGAGGACTGACAGTCCAAGTTCCCTGAGAGACAATCCCTTGGCCAAATGTCATGAGCAGCAGAACCCCTTAAAAAATTGTGAAGTTCTCCAACATTAAGTCCTCCCCTCAGAGAAGGAGTTACTTCATAAGCTCCCAAGTCATGACAAAGCCATTTCTCATCAGTGTAGCTATCTAAATCACACTGCAGAGACTCCATACAAATCCTGTTCTTGAACCAGATGTTGTCATATTTTTTCTCAGCCTTTTTAGCCTTTTGGACCCCAGTTACCCTTTGCTGAGCTACACAAAAGATGTGAGCATCTTCTTTTCTCTGTGATAATTACTATTTACTAATAAATAATAATAAAGTCATTAAGGCATTTTATATTTACAAAGCTCTGTTGAATTATCTCATTTAATTATAAAGCAACCCACATAAAGAGGAATTATCCTCATTTTGTAGATGTGAACGCTGGGGTCTATTGACTTGGCCATGGTCACAGAGCTACACTGTGGTGGGTTGAACCTGGGACTTCCAATCTCAGATCTCTGCACTAATGCACAGATACTGAGCTGCCTACACACATACAACACATTCTTTTTGTGACTTGCACAAAATACAAATTGCAAAAAAGGCAAAGCTGTATAATGCAGTCATTTTGGGGGCCAAGTCCATCATGTGATGGTGAAGTACTGGGCATGGGGAGCCAGAGCCCCAGGTGGCTGACCACAGTTTAAGTCCTGGCCTCCACAGCGTGATGTGTATGTACATGCATGCCCAAAATCCCAATGGGATGGAGGAGTGGAGGAAAAAAGATCATGCCATAACCATGCCCACTGAAGGGTTCTCTCTCTCTCTCTCTCTCTCTCTCTCTCACTTTCTCTCTCTTGCAACTTCATGTGCCCTCTAGTAATAAAGAAAATGTAGTTGTTTTTGTTGCTTCTGCTAAGTATATTATAGAGCCATATTTTAAATGTGTGTATTTCTGTGTTCTATAGTGATGCTTAATTTATATCCCATTGCTTACATATTACATTTACCAAGCATATGAATAGAAAAATGTTCAACTACCTGAAAAGACCAAGTTGACACAATATGAACTTTTTGTTTAATGGCTGAATAAGCACACCTTGTGCCCAACCAGTACTTTGTCCACAGCATTAACCTTGTTCTGTAACAACCACCTGCATCAGTGACTGGATAAATAATTCCATGCTTCGATTCAGCCTTGGGATTTTCTGTTGAGATTACATTAGGATCAGAGAGCATTACGGTGGTTTGCAGGAACTGGAAGGGAGCAAAGAATGGGGAGATAATGGTTAAAGGATACAAAAATCTCAGTATGAATAAGTTCTGAAGAACTATTGTACGGCATGGTGACTATACTTAATAATGTATTGTATACTTGAGAATTGCTAAGAGATCATATCTTAAATGTTCTCACCATAAAAAAAGGTAATTATGTGAGATGACAGGTATGTGAATAAGCGTCATTTAATCATTTCACAATGCGTACATATATCAAAACATCCCATGGTACACCGTAAATAAATACAATTTTTAATAGAGCTGGTGGAGGGAGATTAAATCAGATAATGCCTTTAAGTATGAACAATGTATCCCTCTCTGAATTAGGTTGGAACCACTGAAGCCAGGTGGATGACCTCACAGTATTATTTATTGGGAGCTTCTTCTATGCAGAAAGTATGTAATAGCGAGACCTTTTAATGGTGCTCTCAGGATATCTGAAGGCCTGTGCAACTGAGTATTAGGTCTAGAAGTACTGGCATTAGAGCACCAAGACTTTGAAGAATTGTCCTGTCTTATTCATTTCATTTCAGATCAAAGTTGGTGTGGAGACCGCATCACATCCTTTTTTCAGGGAAGGGGGGGATTCATAAAAGATACCTGACCAGAGAAATGCAAAACTTTTTTTATTCTTTTTTCTTTTTTTCCCTTTAAATTTTGCCTGATGGCACATTTGATCACTGGAAAGAGACACAGAGAGAGGGAAAGTGAGAAAGCATTCCACATGAAGGATGGTCACACTGCAATCCCTTCTCTTTCATTTTTCCTCTTTTCAGGGTTTCGGGCACACATGCACATGTGCCCAGCATGTTTTTTTGTAAGCCACTGGGTTTGGGACTTAAACCCCCACAGTCAGTCACATGGAATCCAACTGCCTTAACCATCATGCCATAGGCTGGCCAGAAATGGACATACTCACATAAGGAACTGTTACCAGGGTCACTTCAAGACACGATGGAAACTTTGGCAACAACTTAAAATATTGAAGAAGCCAAGGTTATGACTCATCCCCTGATGAGATTGTACCTCATTTGAACATGGGCTGAGCACATTGTTGCTGGAGGAAAAGTTCAGAAGAAATAGTGTTGAGTTTTTCTTATAAACATGTTCAGCTCCATTTGTTGACAGAATCTCAAGATGGTTGGTAGCTGTGTTTCTGTTACCTACAAGAATACTATAGTTGTAGTACTGGCAATGTAATTGCAAGTGGGCTATGGCACTGAGCTCAAAATTTGTTCCCAATGACCTTATATCAGTTATTATCAAAACTTGGCCCAGATTCCTTAAGGTATCACTTGTTCCCATTCAGTCAGTAAAAACAGGAGACAGAGGACGATGGGAATGAGCTGTGACCAAATATGGAGGGCCTTCCTAGCCGTAGAGATTAGCTCCTTGCCATGGAGAACTCTCTCTGTTTCTAAATTGTTTAAAGTTGGTTGGCTAGGGATTATTTTGTGATCATGGTATACCTCTTGCATCTGTTTAGCCTTAAATGCTTCCGAAAGCATTTTTCAAAATCCTCTCATGATTTCATGATTTGCTAATCCTTCCTAATACATGGATTGGCTAAAATGCACTCCTATTTATTATTACTATTCTAGCTTTGAGAAAGCAAAAAAAAAAAAAAAGTGTGAGTCTTATAAAAATAGATTAGAAAAAACTGAGCAAGGGTTGTCAGAAGCATAACTGAGTGATGGTGGTTCTATTGTGCTTGGGCCTTACAGAAAACTTCAAACTATGTTTTGTCACTTTCCAAAAGAAAAGTTAAGGCATTTTAATTACAGTTACTGTTTACGTTGGGATGGAGGCAAAATAAATGTATTGCACTCCCTCTGCTGGCTCTGAAGCTGCAACAGCTCATTAACCAGACCTATTTTTAGATGTAATTCCTCATTTAAAACAAAAAATAAATGGAGTGTGGAAAAAGAAAGCAAAAGCTGGAAAGCTGTTAATTTTATTATTCGTTTAAAATAGCAAAACAGACATCTGCCCCATGCATTTGAGGAGGTAATAAAGCCAGCAGTTTTTAGGCTTTTCAGCACTTTACTAAAAAAAAAAAAAAAAAGGGGGGGGGCCCCACCCTCACCACTCCTGGAAGCGTATCTTTAACCTTTCAGAATGACTCAGTTCCTTTCAAATGCTAAAATAATCTTTTTGTCAGAGTTTAATGAACAAACTAGTAGTTTAGTATGTGAAGTATGTTCAAAACAGTCCAAAAAAGCAAAGGCATTCATTTGACTTTGGGTGGGAGGAGGGAGAAAGAGAAAAATGGTGTCAGAAAGGAAAGCTAAAAGATCATCATGCTGAAATTTTATACCTCGGGGGAGGCCACTTCCGTGCATGAAAGCATGTTCCCCACAAGCCTGGAAGGGAATCATAGCACCGGGGAATTTTAGAGCTAGAGAGACCTAAGAGGCAACAGACCAGCGCCTGAGTGAGGAATGCCCATTGGGAGAGGGAGAGGAAAATGCTCCAATGCCTGGAACCCTGAGCGCCCTGGCCCTGGTTCATTCTTGCTAATTGGCGTATGGACAATTTTCCTGCAAAAACTGTCTTCTGCCTGGGCTTTGTTCTCTTTCTCCTACTTGTTCTGTTGCCTTACAGGCGTCTGGATGCTAATCACATCAGCTACGTGCCCTCCAGCTGTTTCAGTGGCCTGCATTCCCTGAGACACCTGTGGCTGGATGACAACGCTTTGACAGAAATCCCCGTCCAGGCCTTCAGAAGTTTATCAGCATTGCAAGCCATGACCTTGGCGCTGAACAAAATACACCACATACCAGACTATGCCTTTGGAAATCTCTCCAGCTTGGTAGTTCTGTAAGTTTTATCGATTTTGCTCTCTCTTGTAACAGCTCCTAAATTCACTATAAGACCTTGGCCTTAAAATGCTGGCCCTTCAAACCTTGAGTGGGGGCATGGTAAGGAAGGAAAACCCCTGAGCCTCTCTCCAAAATATCCCACAAACGTTCCAATTGTGTAAATGACTTAAATAACATTTCCTGAGCACCTGCTAAGTGCCGAGCACTGCTGGACATATAAACATAATAAAATATGACCTCTGCCTTAGGGGAGTGCCTCATATATTATGTGAGAAGTCACCACACTGTACAATTAGTACAGTAGCCAGAGTTAATGAAAATTTCTTGTTTTTGATAATAATTGATAATTCAGGTCAAGCTGAAAAATGTCCTTTTTAATATTTAATAAAAGGTATTAAAGGACCAGCAGTTGGCATAATGGCTATGTCACCACGGTTCGAGTCCCGGATCCGGTGGCTTAAACTTACACAGGACGCATGTGCATGCGTGCCCAAGATTCCGAGAGGAGAATGGAGGAGAAGGGATTGAGGCGTGGCCATCTCCCCGGGGGGTGATTTCTCGCTTTCTGTCTCTCTGTCTCTGCGGAGGGGCAATGGGGGGGAGGGGTTTGGGGGCGGGCCATCTCCCCGGGGGGGGGGGGGGTAATTTCTGGCTTTCTATCTCTCTGTCTCTCTGTCTTTCTGGCACGTATACATGCCCTATAGCAAAAAAAGTATTAATAAATACCTTTTATTAAATATTTGTAATACAAAGAATCTTCAAAAATTCAGGATAATTCATATTATTAAAAAACTACATGGATTTCAAAATTCTTTTGCACCAAAGAAAACATGTACTTTTTTAAAAATTTTTTTCAGTTATTTCTTCCATGAGTGAGAGACAGAGTCAGCCCCACCAGCCTCCAACAGGTTCCCAGTGCCACAATTCACTATCAGCCCTGGCTAGCTGGGCGTTCCCTAGGAAGTCTCTGGGTCTAAACCCAGAACTCTCTCATGTGGGTCAGCCTCAAAGAACATTGAGTTTTACCTCTGCCACCATCTGATCCCTAAATTTGTACTTTAGTTCCATTTTTACTCAAAGTTTTTGAGGTCTTCCCTTACCTAATAAGCACTTCTGAAACCAAAGAAAGAGAACAAATATTTGATGGCAAGTTATGCATTTTATAGCTTTTTTCCCTGTTATGTCTAGATGTCATCATTTTAGTAAATCAAAATGACTCTTGAATAATTCATAGATTTCAAAGTAATCAGTCTTCTTTAAGAATGTAGGAATACCGGGAACCAGCAATTAGCGTAATGGCTATGACGCTGGACTCCCACGTAGTCGACCGCGGTTCGTGTCCCGGACCCGGTGGCTTAAAACTCACGCTGGGTGCGTGTGCGTACGTGCCCAAGATCCCGGGAGGAGAATGGAGGAGAAGGGATTGCGGCGTGACCATCCCCCCTGGGGGGTGATTTCTCGCTTTCTGTCTCTATGTCTCTGTCTGTCTGGCGAGTGCACGTGCCCTATAGTGAAGAATGTAGGAATATGAGGCCAACTCCATGGCTTACTGGTAAAGCACTGCTCAAGAGCATCCAGGCCGCATGTGGTGACCAGGTTCAAGTCCCCAGACTAGTCAGCCTGAAACCTTCTGAGCACAGTGTGAGTGCCCAAGATCCTACATGCTGGGAGACTGAAGGAAGGGGATTCTATTGCGACCACACCTGTGGAGGGTGCTTGTCTCTTTCTGTCTCTCTCTCTGCCTCTCCTTCATGCACTCTACCCTGAGTATATGGGAAAAGATGAGTGTAGCAATATACCCCAACGTGTGTAACAACAGTCAGTCAATGCTGAAATTGGAAAATAGCAGTTGCTTGAAAAGCTGTGAGAGCTATTTGCTTAAGACCTTGAAGACGGCTCTTTCTGCACTATTTCTCTCTGTACTGCATGCATGCCATGACTCACTGCAGCCTTCAATCATTTCCCTTCATTCCTTGACTGTATGTCTCTAATACTGCAGAGCAGTAAGTATCCCTGTGAAGGCTGGCCATCTATCTTATCCATCTGTTCCATTCCCTCAGTCCTCTTCTTCACATGTTACATGTGGAGCTCCTCAACAAGTGTCACACAGAACTCATATGAAACTCAAATTTATTTGTTAGAATAAAAATCTTAATCTGAAAAGAAAAGAAGATTTTGGTGATTTTAACTAATTTTTATACTGAATTTCACATATAAAGATGATGCTGGGGGGACCAGCAGGTGGTGTAGTGGTTTACTCCCACATGGCAAACCATGTTTCAAGTCTTGGAACTAGTGGCTTTCTCTCTCTCTCTCTCTCTCTCTCTCTCTCTCTCTCTCTCTCTCCTTGGTCAAATTAAAATGAATGAATGAATAAATAAAAATTAAAAAAAAAAGATGATGCTAGGAACACAACAAAAGCTGGGTACATGCTTCGGTTATTTTTTTCCCTTCCACCAGAGGGAATGGATTTGCAAAGATCCGGCTATTCTTTTGCACCATGCCCTTTTTAAACCCATTTCCAAAAATCCCTTTGGGAGTTGAACCAGTTTTCAGCTGTGTACACAGCTGTTCTCATTGGCTCTGACCTAACTGACTTGCCAGTGGAGCCAAAGATGATAATTATACACGTTAATACTGTGTCAAGATAACTAATCTTCTCAGGCAGCCGAAAAATCTGATCACTATTTCTTGTGGCTGAAATCGTTGTTTCCTGTTGACCTGTGGCCTGATGGCCCAACCCTGCAAATGTAGCCATTATGAACTTCAGCTTTAATAGAAAATGTGCTTAATACACCTGGGATCTCTGCACCCTCCATGTGTCAATCATGGTATCTGTTTAACATTCTACCAAAGCCACGCTGAACTACCTACATTGAAGGATATGCTAAAAATTCTGAATTTACTTACACAGATCATGCTGCTCTTATCATTATATACTCCCTGATCTCAAACCCAGATGATAAAACTGTGACTAGCTCTTAAATTCTATGGTATAGCATTATCTACAATATGAATAAATGGAGCAGATAGCCTTTTTTAAAAAAAAAACTATTCGTATCTTGTAACTAGTGCATTCTTTAATATAAGTATCTTTGGATTTAAGTCATCAGAATGTTGTGCTTAAATTAGGTATGTGCAGTGTGCCTTCATGACTGTGTGTAATGTTCTCCTACAGGCATCTCCATAACAATAGAATCCACTCCCTGGGAAAGAAATGTTTTGATGGGCTCCACAGCCTAGAGACTTTGTGAGTTGACCTTTTATTTGTTTCCCTTTTTTCAGTGTTTTCATGAATATTCTGAAGGAAACAAAATAGCCTTAAAGCCAAACTTGCTGTTTGGTTTGCTTAATTGCCTAAACTTTAAACATATTTGGAGTGACTTTATCTTACACACACACACACACACACACACACACACGCACGCGCACACACACACACGCACACACACACACAAACACACACCACAGAGCTAAACAATAAAACTGTGATTTTAGTTCCATCTAATAAGAGTAATAAATTAGTTAGAATAATTATAAGTTAAATGAGATGTTCTCTATTGAGTAGTGACTGTTTGCTTAGGAATGTGTATTCTTTATGAAGAATCAATTCTATACTGTCACTCAGGCTCACTATTCATGAGTTTGGTTCAAAAACTGCTGAATGACAGGATGCAGACTGGGCAGATGGTGGAGTCTCCAGCCTGAGATAAACAGGCATCTCATTAGGACATGGTGAGGGTTCATACTGAAGCAATGTACAAGACTAAAAGGTGCTATTTATTGATTATGTCTATATTCAAATATTCCACTGAACACTCGGTATACATTGTTTCAATTCATTTATACAACCATCCCATGACAGCAACTATGATTATCCCATCTTGGGCTCTAGTGAGGTTAAGTTATTTTACCAACATACTGAGTCAGTAGCAGAATGGAGATTTGTTTCCTTCTCTAATCTGATTCTGAAGTCCCTGTTTATCATTACATGCTACTTCCAAAGAATAGGTCGAAAGTTCAGTTCTTAGTTGGTACCACTAATAAAAATAGAGTCCCGCCTACTGACCGTAGCCTAGTGACTCTCCCAAAGCCTAGGTGAAGGCCCTCATTGACCACTCCAGGGTTCCAGCCTTTTCCCAGGAACTGAACTGCTCTCCATTGCTCTGATGAGTCAAAGAGGTATAGTAAGGAAGGGGATGACAGTCTGTGAGGGCCCTGAGTGTGCTGGGAGAGCAACTACACCCCCATTCCACCTTCATGGTTTTAATATTTGAGTGCAATAAACCACAGGGTCGCTGAATCTACAGTGCTGACTCTGGCCAGGACTGTAGACGATGACTAAAGACTACTTTTCCTGTGACCTCCGGGCCATTATGCATTTGCATAGAGAGTTTAGCAATTTGTACATAGTTGATTTAGCTTCTAGGCAGGCCTGGGTCCACTCATTTCCTGAGGCACCTTCTGTTGGTGGTGGTGGTACTCTATTGGCCAATGAGCTCTCCTTCCAGGGTTATTGAAGTCACTCTGCTTCAAACATCTTAGGTGCCAAAGACGAACTCATCCAGGCAGGACCATGATGTCAACTTAATGACAAAGCTAAGCAGTTCCCCCATCAGCTGTTCAGAAAAATTCTACCTACATAGAGCTGGGTTGGGGAATCTTAGCAATGGAAATCACCTTCTTGGTCCTTTCCAACAGAACAACAGAAATGGAAAACAATATGGACATTGACAAGTATTTCCATAAATAGTCTTTTGTATTTCCCCAATCCTGGGTGAGGGCCCAGAATTGCATATAAATAGCATACAGTACGACATTTCAGGACAAAATTCCTGTGAGTTTTATTGTCTCCTTCTCCCCGCACCCCCCCCCCCACGTTGCCCAGGGCTGCAGAGAATCAGTAAACTGGTTATTCCCAACCTCTTCCTTTCCTTTCCCTGACCAGATATCCAAGTAATTTATAAGGGCCCAGTTCTTGTTTAATCAAAACAGAGCATCTGGAGAGATTTACAAACAGGAAGAAAATTTATGTCCACAAGTCTCCTGCCAGCAATATAGCTTAAGGATGGTTTGCGCCAGACAAGTAGGAATCTTGATTCATGTTTAACTCAGTCAAATTATCTCTCTCTTAAAATTAAATAGCAATTCTTCTACACAGAAGAGGATCTAACCACATCTGATTGCCTGACCAAAGGTTTTTCTGTGTCATCTGGGAAATCTGCCATTCCCAGAGACCAGGAGGCAATTACTTTTTCATATGAAGATGTAAATAAAAGGTGGAGTAAGTCTATAAAGTGCTCGTGAGTAATGGAATTGAAAAGTCATTTGTGTCATAACAGAGAAATTGATGATGAGAGACTGTTTGGCCGTTGCGTCTCTACGCATGAGGGGTAATGTAGAGCATTGCCTCACGGACCAAGGAAAACATCATGTTTCTCATGTGGATCCTTATTTGTGACCCTGAGAGAATTCTAGACCACATGTCCTTCCTGAGAGAACCTGGTATCCCTTCAGGCTGGGATATAGGCAGACACTCTGCATTTCCAAGAAAGTTAAGGAGAGGACAGGGAAAGGGATATCATCTGGAAACCCCGACTTGATCATGTACAAGCTGGCAACCTCATGAGCTGGGTTCAGATGAAGAGCTCCACCCGCAAACTACCAAAACAACAGTAAGGATCTCTCCTACTTGGAAGTTGAGGCTGCTTGTTCCCTCCCTTTTCTAAAATGCCCCAGTGCCATTGTGCTTTGGCTCTTTACGAATTTCTCCTGATCAATTCAATTGCCATTTTAATGCAGATACTTGTGGAATGTTGGTGGTTAGCATATCAAGAAAACTACTCTTCATAAAGAGAAAGAATTAGAATGTTTTGTTGATGATATGGATCCATTAAAATAGCATGTTAATTTTTCTTGTAAGTGTAGTACATATTAATTTTTAAGGTTTTTTTTTAATTTTTTAACTTATTTTTTATTTGCATTTAACCACCATACATCTTTGCAGCATACAACATGGCTTTTCCCAGCATTAATATGGTGCATAGTAGTCAAGTCAAAGGCATTATCATATACATTATCATCAGCAGATAATTTTTTCATTTTTGTGTCTATTAAATGTTTTGTTTTGGACTAGTAGATGGCATAATGGTTACATAGCTGAACTCCCACGTAGTTGACCATGGTTTGAATCCCATACCAGGTGGCTCAAAACTCACATCAGGCGTGTGTGCATGTGTGCCCAAAACCCCGAGAGGAGAATGGAGGAGAAGGGATTGCAGCATGGCTGTGCCCCCTGGGGTGCGATTTCTCACTTTCTGTCTCTCTGTCTCTCTGGTGAGAGCACACACCCCATAGCAAAAATCTCTCCAAAGAAAACATTTTGTTGTTTTTCCTATCTCCTCCCTCTCACTCCCACAGAGGAATTTTTCATTGAAAACATTTTCTCTTTTTCAGAGATTTAAATTATAATAACCTTGATGAATTTCCCACTGCAATCAGGACACTCTCCAACCTTAAGGAACTGTAAGTATGAAGGACAATTTTAAAGAAAGAGTTTTGTTCTTTGTGAATTTATTTTAAAATATGTGTGATTATTAGACACAATATGAATCGCTAGAAAAATTTTAAAGCTTGTATAAATAATGGTTAAATGCACTTGAAATATATTTTCATTAATTCTATCAACAGCAAACATCAGATAGTATTTTTATTTATGGTGTTTCTCGTATATATATTTAAAAATGTGTATTTCTCTAAGCCATATTCTTCTTCCTTTTCCAAGCAATATATACTCTCTCAACATCTATATACTTCATAGATTTGCAGTAAAACTACAATGGAGTTTAGTTATTTGCTGAGCATTTCTAAGAATCTGAACATTTCTAGGTTGTGTAAGTCTAGAACCAAGTAAGTAAAACAGGGCCAGCAGGTGGCATGGAGGTTAAGGCAGCTGGATCCCACTTGGTTAAATCCACAGTCTGAGTCTTGGACCCAGAGCTTGAAAATCACTCTGGGCACATGTGCATGCATGCCTAAAATCCAAAGAGGAGGATGGAGGAAAAGGGATTGTGACATGGCCATCCCCTCTGGGAAAGTGATTTCTTACTTTCTCTCTGTCTCAGTCTCTCCAGTGAGTACATGTGCCTTATGACAAAAAATAAAATAAAAATAAAAGACAGAGAGAGAGAAAGAGACTATACTTAGTATAGTATTAGATGCTTTCACATACATTATTACATATTCTTTAAATGCTTCAAGAATTTTATTTAATAATAAAAGAAAACATGATTTTACCAAATAAAGCTAAAGTCTAGCAATTGGATTACATATATTGTCTTTGAGATAATAAAACTTAATTAGCTTTTCTTTGTACCTAAAAGGATGAATAACTTATGTAAATATTGTTTTAATATTTGGAAAGAAAAAATAAACCTAGAACCTTCTTTTCCTTAATAGTGAGAAATAAGTTACACAGCTAAAGGAGGTAAACAGGGGAACCTGTTTAAAAGAAAAAAGCTTGGATTGGCCCATAGACTAGCAGTTAAGGGAGCTGATCCCAAATAGCCAGATGTAGCTTGAATTCCAGACCTAGTGGCTTAAAAAGCACACCAGGTACGTATATATGCATGCCCCAAAATCACAACAAGATGGAGAAATAGAGGAGAAGGGGTGTGGCATGGCCATGCTCTACTGTAGGGTGCCCTCTCCCTCTGTCTCTCTTTCTCTTTAGTGAGTGCACATGCCCTCTGACAATTTTTTTAAAAATGGAAGGAAAGCCTTTCCAATGTGGACTGGGCAGAATGGCTCCTGCAAAGAAAGGAAGCAAGAAGTAAAGGGCCGGGACCAGCAGTTAGCGTAATGGCTATGTCGCTGGACTCTCATGTAGTCTACCGCCGTTCAAGTCCTGGACCCAGTGCCTTAAACTCATGCTGGGTGCGTCTTCATGCATGCCCAAGATCCCGAGAGGAGAATGGAGGAGAAGGGATTGCGGCGTGGCCATAACCCCCTCCCCGGGGGGTGATTTCTCGCTTTCTGTCTCTCTGTCTGTCTGGCGAGCACACACGCCCTATAGGGAAAACCTCTCAAAAAAATAAATAAATAAATAAAAGTAAAAGGGCCATTCTGCCATCAACCAGGTGCTGACCCGAGAATACACCATCAACATTCATAAGCATATCCATGGCATAGGCTTCAAGAAATGTGCCCCTGGGCACCCAAAGAGATCCAAAATTTACCATGAAGGAGATGGGGACTCCAGATGTGCTCATTGATACCAGATTCAACAAAGTTGTCTGGGCCTAAGGAATAAGGAAAGCCCCATGCCATATCTGTGTGTAGTTGTCCAGAAAATGTAATGAGGATGAAAATTCACCCAACAAGCTCTACACTCTGGTGATCTATGCACCTGTTGCCATTTTCAAAATTCTAGATAGTCAATGAGGATAAGAAGTAACTGCTGATTCTCAAATAAAGTTATAAAACCTCAAAAGAAAGAAAGAGAGAAGAAAGAGAGAAAGAAGAGATAGAAAGAGAAAGACAGAGAAAGAGAACGGAAGAAAGGAAGGAAGGAAGGAAGGAAGGAGAGAAGGAAGGAGAGAAGGAAAGAAAGAAAGAGAGAGGAGAAAGAAAGAAAGAAAGAAAGAAAGAAAGAAAGAAAGAAAGAAAGAGAAAGGAGAGAGAAAGAAAGAAAAAGGAGAGAGAAAGAAAGAAAAAGGAGAGAGAAAGAAAGAAGAGAGAAAGAAAGAAAAGAAGGAAGAAAGGAAGAAAAAGAAAGAAAAAGAAAAACTCTTTCAGGGGGATTTGCCTCAAAAACTCCCATTTGTGGCTTAACCAGGTCATCTTCATTGTATACAGTCAGGACGTCCAAACATTGATACTCACCTCATGCAACCACCAGCCAATGTAAGATCAAAGACCCTTGACCCTGCTCCTCTGCCATTCAGACAACATTAGCACTGACAGATGAGAATCAGTTTGTTTTTACAGACTCGCTGAGATGGAGTACCTTCCTTCGAGTCAGGAAATTTCATCCTCATAAAGAGATTACTTAAATCTCTGCTTCACTGCAGTTTAAGTCAATTTTCTCTTCTAGCCTCAAATGGGTCAGGTAGAATGATCGTAATTCTCTCTCTAAAGATGATCCCACTCTCTAAGGCCATTAAGTAATAGTGCTTTATTGGATATTAATGGATAGATTTTCTTGGTATAATATTAGATTGTAAGTTTCCATAAATTGTATTATTTTCAGATTGTTACTTTTTTGATTGCCAGAGAGCATGTGCACTCACCAGAGAGATAGAGAGACAGAGAAAAAAGGAGTGGGAGAAAGTACCTTGCCCCATAGGACATGGTCACACCACAATCCCTTCTCTATTTTTCTTTTTCTTTTTTCTTTTTTTTTTTTTTTTTTGGAGAGGTTTTTGCTATAGGGCGTGTGCGCTCGCCAGACAGAGAGGGAGAGACAGAGAGATAGAAAGCAAGAAATCACCCCCCATGGGGGATGGCCATGCCGCAATCCCTTCTCCTCCATTCTCCTCTTGGGATCTTGGGTATGCATGCACACACGCCCGGCGTGAGTTTAAGCCACCAGGTCCAGGACACGAACCGCAGTCAACTACGTGGGAGTCCAGCAACATAGCCATTACTCTAACTGCTGGTCCCCTTTCTTTATTTTTCTATCCTATCAGAATTTGGAGCACACTCACGTGCATATGCATGTACACACATGCACACACACACTGTATTTTTCCAAGCTGCCTGGGCTGAGATTCAAACTGGAGTCAACTACGTGGGACCTTGTTCCTTGAGCCACTGGGCCACAGGGCCAGCCTTATTTTCAGATTCATTATTTTTCTTTCTAGACTTCAGCAAATAATTTCTTTTTTTTTTCCTAGAGAGTAAATGAAGGCACAAAAGTTTCAAGATGCATGAAGGGATTTAACCTTGTCTTCTCATTATTAAAAGTGCTGATTATTGCCACAAGGGAAGAAACTATTGCATAAACTTACTCCACTTGATTTTATACAAAAAATGTTTTTCTTTTTCTAGAGGATTCCACAGCAATAATATCAGGTCAATCCCTGAGAAAGCATTTGTAGGCAACCCTTCTCTTATCACAATGTAAGTGGCCATGGTGCTTTTTCACTTTCCATCCTGAACTATAGCATACAGTGCACTTTTAAATATAATAATATGTATGTTCTGTATTTGCCTGAGTTTTTCCTCAGTCAACATAAGCATCTATACAGAGAAATGTATATGGAGGTGTTTTGCCAAGTTTTAGCTGAACACTGGTATAATGTCAAATATTCATTTTTAGGATCCACAGTGTGCATTGCATTGTACTTGATGCCTTCAGATGTCTAGTCTCATTTAACAATAATCTAGTGAAATGCTTTTGACTATTTCTATTTTCTAAAAAATAAGACTGATTTTTATAGTGTCAATGTCAAGATCATATGGTCATTCAGACTTGAACCCTAGTGTACTAGAAGTATAAATTACTATATACAAAGAGGGCTCTTGTGCAGGAATAGATTCCAACTGAAATCAAGGCTATGGATGGAAGAATGTTGTTTTATGCTAAGTCTCTATATATTGTTATATGCTAAGTCCCATTCATTAGTAAGCCCTACCATTGAGTTACAAACTAAGACCTAATTCTAGGAAGATGTATGTGTCCTAGAAAAGTATATATGAGGTTTTATATGGCATAAAAGAATAAAATAGTTACAACTATAAAGTTCAGTATAGCTAAATTTTTTAAAGGTTTTTGCCATAGGGCATGTGTGCTCACCAGAGAGACAGAGAGAGAGAAAGTGAGAAACCCACCCACCCCCATGTGGCATGGGGGGGGATGGCCATACCACAATACTTTCTCCTTCGTTCTCCTCTCAAGATTTTGGGCACACACACACACACACACACACACACACGTGCCCTGAGTGAATTTCAAGCCGCCAGGTCTAGGACTTGAACCATGATAGACTATATGGAAGTCCAGCTTCTTAACCACCATGCCACCGGCTAGCCCCTCAGTATAGCTCATTCTATATTTCACATTTAGTACAGACAAAAGATTAATGATATATAGAAAAATAGGAAGATGAAAACATGTGAACATTAGCCTGGCTTTTAGGTGAAAGACACTGTCCAGGCAGGTGTGGGACATAGGACTGACCTGGGGCTGTGGATAAGAAGACTTGAACAGGAAGGGGACTAAGGGCAACAGTTGAACATGGCTCTAGGAGCTCTTCTCAGCAGATGTTCAGCCTGTGCCAACTTGACTGAGAAACTCTCTGGAATCACGTAGCAATTGTCATAAATGGGCTGGACTCCCAATTAACTCTGACAAAAGAAGGGGGAAAAAAATAAACTGCAAACAAAAACCATTCATTGTTTCTGAAATGTTCTGACAATGTTTTGGCAAACAAAGAGTTTTAAAGTGCATTGACCAATAAACATTAGTCCTCCTTAGAGAGTATTTACATATTAAGAAGTTGACAAATTGCATTGCCTTTGCTCCTCTTTCTTGGCAGCCTGAGACTGGTTTTTAATCACTCTTTTGATATGCTAATACCCACTGAAGAGCACTAAGGCCGGCACTTAAGAATGCTTCTCTCCATGGACCACTTTCTCCCTGAAAGACTCCTCTCATTGCTCCTCATCTGTTTCCACTCCTGTCACCATCAGCCACCCCCCACCCGCCCATAGTTTACTGGTTTTTCTCCTCAGAAACTAGCACTCATATCTGCCTTGCTGTCAGAAACTTTCGATTTTATACAGCATGGATTTCTTATGAAAAGACTCATAATATGAGTCAAAATACTTTTCAAGGTTTGCCCGAAGCCAAGAAATCAGGAATGTCATGTAATATAGTATAATCGAAGCCACATAAGTACATTTCATGTATTTGTCAAAATTTTGAACAGATATTCATTTGCCATTCAAGTGTTATACTAATATATTGGTGTTTGGATATTGTCAGACATTTCTATGACAACCCCATCCAGTTTGTTGGAAGATCTGCTTTTCAACATTTACCTGAACTAAGGACACTGTAAGTTTCTATTTCTCTTAGAGATCACTTTTCCCTGCAGGGTCACTGTACAGACTAAATGAGTGTTAGAGGTTGAAGTGCTTTGAAAAGTCCTTTCTAAATCTTCCCTCAGTAATACTCATCTACTCCTCCTTCTAGGACGTTGAATGGTGCCTCACAGATAACTGAATTCCCTGATCTAACCGGCACTGCAAACCTGGAGAGCCTGTAAGTACTTGAGTCGGCACTTGACTTGGCCCAGAACATTCACTGCCCTTGAAGTGTGATCAGTCTTAACATTGGTGAATCAACACATGTCATTGTGTGATGCTGAAATGAAAGAATTATGTCTGGTTTGTGTTTTAACAGGACTTTAACTGGAGCACAGATTTCATCTCTTCCTCAAACCGTCTGCGATCAGTTACCTAATCTCCAAGTGCTGTGCGTATCAGTAAGGCAAGAAATGTTGTGTAAACAGGCAACTTCCATTTACGGGTGGAATGCCAGACATTGTTATCGCAATGATCCTTTAAAGCGGGAGCGAGTTCTTTCCTTGTAGGTCGATCTATAGGAGGTCAAGCCTCCTATGCCCTTCTTGGTAGAGGCTCTAGACATGCCCTTGGTAGCAAAAGCGATGTGCCTGTTGTTTCCAAATCTCAATCTCCCACTAGAATTTCAGCTGGCACGTGTTTCCTGCCGGAAAATGAATGCAAAGATGCCAAATAGCTTCATTTCTGTCTCTAAAGGCAGAGCAGGCCAAAATAACAATGGGTCAACCCAGTATGGATGCCAAAATTAAAATTTGAGTTCTCAGACTTGCACAAGCTTTGGTAAAGGTGACCAACTATTCTTCCTGTATAGTCGTGGGTGCCATGCCTAATGTTTATCTAGTAGTTAACAGTGTGTATATGTTATTTCTATTGAATTGGGGCTCCCCCCTCCCACTCCCACCCTGCCTTTCTTATGTTTTATAAGAAGTAGTTTGACGAGCCTTGCTTTGACCTGCCTCTTCTAATTCTCTCTCAATTCCCACTCGATCTTATTATGAGCCTCTCAAGTGCTCTTGAGACATAGTGAAAAGACCCTTGGTCTCTGACCATGGCTCTGCTTTCACATAGTAGACCCTCTCAGAGTTGAACGCCTGTGACTCCACCACAGAACTTACTTAGTAGCAGAACTACAAGCGGTGCTGCAAGTCTCTTATGGACAAATGAGAATGCCTGCCATGGTGATCCTGCCTCCCCTGTCCCCAGGCTGTCATGTCACTTCAGACCCCAGTTGCTCAGTGACATAAGGGTGCAATAGCAATACACGTTAGCCTTGGAGTCGGTCATTCATGTCTTGAAGGTAGCAGGTATAGAGCACATCTTCGTCCATTTTCTGCTGCTCAGTAACAGGATAGGATTTCACACTGTAGCTAGTGTATAGTGTCTGTCTCCACTATGTCACTCAACAAATGGTAAAACTACCCAGGTCTTCAACTACATGACTAGAGACCAGCTGGTGAAATGGTTAAAAGCAAGATTTCGTGGTCGGCCATGTGGGAGTCCAGTGCTTTAACCATCATGCCACCTGCTGGCCCCCAGCACACTATCTTGAGCAAGTTATTATCCCTTATGTGAATCAGGGTCCCAGTTTGTAAAATGAAGATATAGCCACTTCCTTCAAAGGATCACCATGAGGATTAAATGACTACATAAAAATACTTATTGCTATAGGGCGTGTGCGCTTGCCAGAGAGACAGAGAGACAGAAAGCGAGAAATCACTTCCCACGGGGGATGGCCACACCACAATCCCTTCTCCTCCATTCTCCTCTCAGGATCTTGGGCACGCATGCACACGCTCCTGGCATGAGTTTAAGACACTGGGTCCGGGACTCGAACTCGAACCTCAGTTGACTACATGGGAGTCCAGTGACATAGCCATTACACCAACTGTTGGTCCTCTAGGAAGAAATTTCACTGTACTTGGGTGGTTTGTCCTCCAAGTTGCTTCACCCACCATACAAGCTGAGTGTGGCTCTCCCAACATACTAGCTGAGGATCTTACACAAGTCATTTGATATTGTATAGGAATAATCCTAGTATCTGTCTCACTAAGTGAGATAATTCAAATAAAGCCTAAACATGGTGTTTTTATATAAAAAGCTCCTGATCAGTGTTAGCCATGAAAATCAATAGGTAGAAAGAAATATGATGTCTTTATGCAGAAGGTGATTTTTTAAGAATATTAATTTTTTGAGAGGTTTTCGCTATAGGGCGCGTGCGCTCGCCAGACAGACAGAGAGAGACAGAGAGACAGAAAGCGAGAAATCATCCCCCAGGGGGGATGGCCACGCCGCAATCCCTTCTCCTCCATTCTCCTCCTGGGATCTTGGGCACACACGCACACGTGCCCGGCTTGAGTTTTAAGCCACCAGGTCTGGGACGCGAACCACGGTCGACTATGTGGGAGTCCAGTGACATAGCCATTACGCTAACTGCTGGTCCCAAGAATATTAAAATTTTTATTTATTTATTATTCTTATTTTAATTTGTTATAGGACATGTGCACTCACTAGAGAGAGACAGAGAGCAAGAGAAAGCAAGCTACCAGATCCAGAATTCAAACCTCAGTCGGCCATGTGGGAGTCTAGCACCTCAACCACCACACTGACTGCTGGCCTCTATAGAAGAAGGTTTTAGATACTCTCTAATAAGAGGCAGAGTCTACAGAGATAAGTAAACCAAAAAATAATAATAATAATAAAATTTTTTTTCAACTAAGCAGGCTTTTCCAACTTTTAAAAACAAACACAAAACTGACATTTGAAGGAAAAGGGACCACTGGCTGAGCAGGCTTGGCCTAAAACAGCAATAATGAGGAAGCAGGAGGAGAGATTAGTGAGAATAAGTGGCCAGGCTGGTGAGAGGAGGTAGGGAGTCCACTCACTCACTAACAAGGGGCTCGGGGAGCACTTCCACACACTCTTCTATCCTCAGAGCTCTCTCCAGGGCCTTAATTTCCCTTTCCTAACACTTTCGCCCCCACTCCTCAAGAACATGTGCAAGTTAGTAAACCAAATTGTTATCAGCTTTGATAGTATGTATCCATTTTGCTATATTGACTACTTTTTGAGAATACATATCACATTGTTCATTAGGTGTATTTGTATATAGGTTTGGTATTTGGGGAGGCAGCTTTGAAACCTCTAATATAAACTACAAGTGTGTATTTGCAAACAGCTTTGTTTGAATTATTGATGTGTAGTAAATAAATTCTATTTCTATATAAGTCCCATTCATTTAATAAATGTAGGGTAAAGTGATCAATTATTTCTACATAAATCCTATTTATTTAATAAATGTAGGATAAAGTAATCAATAACAAGAATAGAACAAAAGCTTCTTAGAAACCGTATGGGTTTTTCAGTTGCTTAGTGGTGATGTGGTTTAAGAATTAGAATCAGGCATGAAAATGTGTTAGCTGATTAACTGATAACTTGCAAACCATGAGACAAGATTTAAAAAAAAAAAGATCTATGTTACTTTATCTACTAGCTTTCTTTTTCTAAAACTTTCTGCAAATTGCCATGGCTTGTTTTAGATTAGTTATATTATACGATAAATATGTCCAGATGTTTTTGTTATCCTGTAATTTGTTGAATATTGGCTGAAGACTTTTTGAAATTATTTTCCCCCTTTGTAGTGATTGATTTCAAAGTCAGTGCTATATTTTGAATGTTGGGTTTGTTTTTGTTGTTGTTTTCTTTTTAGCTGATTAGAAAAAAAAAACTCAATGATTTCTTTTAGCTGCAGAGATGTAGCAGCTCTTAGAAACAGAGGCACAGTTATTAAATTTAATTTGTATTCATTTTCAGTAAGATAATAGCTAGAACATTATAGATGATCACTAATAAAATATAAATAAATTCATTAAGTAAATTATTTAAATCAATTAAAGGAGTATAACAGTTACATTTCAGTAAACATTTGAACCTACTGGTTAATCCAATAATGCCTGCGACTACCTGCTCTGTGTCAGGGCTGTGGAAGGGTTCCGTCTGTCTTGGGAGATATCACATCTTAGAAAAAGAGGGCCAGGCAGTTTCCTTATGATTAATATGTAACAGATTTTCTCTCTTTGCGCCTTCTGTTTTTCAGAGATCTGTCTTACAACCTACTAGAAGATTTACCCAGTTTTTCACTCTGCCAAAAACTTCAGAAAATGTACGTCTGTAAAGGTGTCTAAGCCACGTAGTAAAAAGAACAAGAGCCAAAACCCATTTCTCAGGGTCATTGGCTCATTTACCTTGCCGTTCACCGGAGAGATATTTGATGCTTTTTCTTCCTTCACACAATGTGTGACCATGTAGCTAGAAAGTTGGGAATCATCGCTGATGTTATTTTATCATGCACCATACTGTAATATCAGTAACACGTTTATTATGTGTCTGCCTTTTTCCCCCTAACTCGATGTAATTAATATTGAAATAGGTTTGTTTAAACTTTGAAAGATTTCTTCTTTTAGGTGTACAATCAAACTTACATATGTAATGAATGTTGGTGTTTTTGAATATGGGGAAACTTGTTTGTTGGTATGTCTGTTTCACAATAGTCATTTCTGAAGATTTTTTTTTGGGGGGGAGGAGATTTCTGCTATAGGGTCATGTACTCACCAGAGAGACAGAGAGACAGAAAGTGAGAAATCACCTCCTGGGGAGATGACCACACCACAATACCTTCTCCATTCTCTTCTTAAGATCTTGGGCACACATGCACATATGCTCAGCATGAGTTTTAAGCCACCGAGTCCAGGATTCAAACCACAGTCAATTATGTGGGAGTCCAGCAACATGACCATTGTGCAACCTGCTGGTGACAAGTCATTTTTAAAGGAGTTTTGTTTTGATTTTTTTTTGTTGTTTTTTCTGTTGTTGTTGTTGTTGTTTTAGAGAGAGAGAGATTTTTGCTATAGGGTGAATGCATTTGCCAGAGAGACAGAAAGCAAGAAATCACACCCCACCCCACCCCCAGCACCAGGGAGGATGGCCATGCCACAATCCGTTCTCCTCCATTTTCTTGGGATTTGGGGCACACACAGACATGCACTCAGTGTGAGTTTCCAGCCTCCAGGTCCAAGAATTGAACTACAGTTGACCATGTGGAAGTTCAGCAATATAACCATTATGCCATCTGCTGGTCCCTAGAGAAGATGTTTCAATTGTTATGGTTAAAGTGTCATAGATACTGCTTAGGTATGAGACATTTTGAAAATCCTCTCTTAAATTTACCTACCCCACAAAATATCAGCCATATTGTTTTTTTAAAGAAGAATTTTTTATTTTTTTATCTTATTTATTATTATTATTATTTTTAATTTGCTATAGGGCATGTGCAGTCACCAGAGGGGGGATGAGGGGAGTGAGAAAACAAGCTGTCAGATCCAGGACTCAAGCTGTGGTAGGCTATGTGGGAGTCCAGCTCCTTAACCACCAGGCCACCAGTGCCAATTATTTTTAAATTGCAATAATACTTCTTTCATGGTCAAATATTGAACTGTAAGTTAGTTTTGAGAATTATAGTACTTAGTTCACTACAATTATAGCTAAAATAATATTGCTTTTTAGTCACACTTCAGTTTTCATCAAAACAATAGTAACCATTTATCCTTTCACACTTCATTTTTCTTCAAATGCCTTTGGGTGATTATGAGAGAATAAACCAAACCAAATTCATCTTTAAAAAGGTAAAGATCTGACTCTCTGAGATACTTTCAAAGAATACAAGAAGGCCTGAGCAGACAGCTTCCAGAGAAGTGTTCTCAAGTGTTTTAAATGATTATGATGTGTTTGGGACTTGGTTTTATGTTCCCCCGAAAGGAACTAGCTGCTTTGAAAGAGAAGCAATACATACTTCAGTGTATAAATTCTCATGTTCATTTTTAACAAACAAAAGTCCATCTCTTGATAGTCACACTTCATGGGATTACCTCCTTTGACTGAGGGCAGGTGATCCCTCTGCAGAAGTTCTCTGAAGTCTGTAATTTTTTAAACCAGTAACATTTAGATCATTTTTTGGACCTTTGTCATTTCAGTGACCTACGACATAATGAGATCCATGAAATCAAAGTGGATGCTTTCCAGCAGTTGCTTAGCCTCCGATCTCTGTGAGTACCCTTCCCAGCACCTTTTTTGACACAGAGCACTCACCTTCTCTTTTGCGCTTCCCCTAACATTTTCTTTCCTCCTTATTGTGCTTTTGTACATCTATTTACCATGAAAAGGCAAGTATTTTGCTCTTATTTCAAAGAATAAATTTATTTATGTATTTATTTATTTGAGATTTTTGCTATCGGGCACGTGTCCTCACTGGAGAGACAGAAAGTGAGAAATCATCACCCCCCCCCCCCAGGGAGGATGGCCATGCCACAGTCCCTTCTCTTCCATTCTCCTGTCGGGATGTTGGGCACACACACACATATGCCTGGCATGATTTTCAAGCCACTGGTCCAGGACTTGAACTACAGTCGACCACATGGGAATCCAGCACCGTTAACAACCATGCCACCTGCTGACCCCATCAGGAATAAATTTTAAAAAGTAAATTTGTAATTATGCTCTCTACCAATCAGCAGAAGAGGAAGGACTCAAGCTGTTGGATGGTCTACAAAATGTGTTCTGTCCACAGCTTGGAATTGGCAGGGATCATTTTGTATGCAAAAATGGGATAACCATGCAATCCTTTCTTTTCTGCTTTTCTTTCCTTGGTGAAAGAGGAGTACATGCATCCTCTGGCAACTTTTTTTAGATGTTTTTGCCATAGGACACATGTGCTCACTGGAGAAAGACAGAGAATGACAGGAAAAGTGAGAAATCAATCCCCAGGAGGGATGGTCACAGAACAATCCCTTCTCCCCCATCCTCCTCTCAAGATTTTGGACACGCACGTGCACACACCCAGCATGATTTTCAAGCTACAGCATCCAGGACTCGAACCATGGTTGGCCATGTGCGAGTCCAGTGACTTAACCACCATGTTACCTGCCACACTCAAAGCACTTTTTTTCAATATGTGTCTCAAACTGAGAGTTACTGAGGGGGTGACTGAAAAATACAATTTCCAGGTCCTCACCTGCCTCAAGAGTTAGAATCTCTGGAGTGGGGCCTAGGAATCTACATTTTAAAAAAATACACTAAGGTCTGAGTATGATTATACTAAAAAATGCTTCTGTTCCTCAGGACAATAAGATTTATCAATATTTAATAACATTTTATGATTGAAAATAACACATATTAACCATAAATTTTAAAAAAGAAAACTTGCTGGGACCAGCATTTGGCATAATGGTTATGTTGCTAGACTCGCATGTGGTCAACCACGGTTCAAGTCCCAGACCCAGTGGCGTAAACTCACACCAGGAGCGTGTGCAAACATGCCCAGGATCCCGAGAGGAGAATGGGGGAGAAGGGATTGTGACGTGGCCATCACCCCTGGGGGGTGATTTCCTGCTTTCTTTCTCTCTGTCTCTCTCTATCTTTCCAGTGAGCATACGTGCCCTATTGCAAAAACCTCTCCAAAAGGAAAAAAAAAGAAAACTTGCTAATAAATTATTTTATGATATGACAGTTGAAACTACTAGATTTCAAGATCATTTTGATGAATGGTGATGATATGTAATGTTTAAACTATATGTTTGCTAAAATTCTTTTTCTTTTGCTGACTTCTAATGTTTGTATAATGCTCAAGAGACTATGCTCTTGGTAAAATAATCATTCTTCACAACTTTTTTTTTTTAATTGCTAGAGGGTGTGTATACCTGCCAGAGAGGGGAAAAAAACACCCCCCCAGTGGGGTATGGTCGTGCAGTAATCCCTTCTCCATCTCTCTGTCCTGTCGGGATCTGGGACACGTACGCACATGCATCTTATGTGTTTTTCAAGCTGCCAGGGCCAGGATTCCAACTGCATTTGGCAATAAGGGATCTAGCTCCCTTAACTACTAGGCTATAGGGATGGCCTGCTACATTTTAAATTTACTTGTGAGTATCACTTAAAGGATCACATCATCCACATCTTCTTTCTTCAGCCCCTACCCATTCATCTCATTCTCCAAGGAGACACAAAACTAATCTTTCTCAAATAGAAATCTATTCATGTTACTTCCCCTTCCCCCTCCCTTTTTGAGAGATTTTTGCATGCATGCAGAAAGAGACAGAGAGACAGAAAGCAAAATATCACCCTCTCCCCCACCAGAAAGGATGACCATGCTGCAATCCCTTCTCCTCCATTCTCCTCTTGGGATTTTGGGCACGCATGCACACACACATGCCCGGCATGAGCTTTAAGCCTCCGGGTTCAGAACTCGAGCCATGATCAGCCATGTGGGAGTCCAGCGACGTAACCATTATACTATCTGCTGGTCCCCAGGTTACTTCCCTTTTTAAAATACTTTCTATTATTCCTCTACTGTCTTCAAGATCAAGACTAAATTTCTCAGCATCACTCTTCAAAATCTGATTCCAATCTCCTGATACAGCCTCGTTTGTCTCTCACTCATTCCCTGTTCCATGACTCATAGGTACTTCTCCTTTTCTCATTGCCTACTGGATTGCTTCCTGTCCTTGACTTGCCCCCCTTGTCCAACCCATAAGAACAAAGTCCTCTGTCTTTGACCCCACTCTATTCTGAAGCACTTTGCATGTTCTTTGCTAGAAGACTTAACACTCAAGCACTGTCATCAGATAGACCATGCCCCACCCAAATGAGAACTTTTATCTTCAAAGTCTAGTGCAATGGCTCTCTCGTTGGTAGCTTGAGAATCCAAACATGTTCTGAGCAAAAAGATCAGGGTCTCAGAAGCCAGTGCTCCTGGAGTTGAATCTCAGCTCTTGGGACTTTGGGCAAGTGAGTTATCACATTGTGTCTTTGTTTCCCCATCAGTAAGCAGGGATAATGGTAATACCTACCTCTTAGAGTTATGTGGGGTTATGAGATAATACATGTAAGAAAACTCCTAACCGTACCTGATACGTAGTAAGTATGTAACAGTAGTAGTAGTAGTATATAGCTTTTTAGGGTCTATCAGTGTACCTGGAAGGAAATAGAATTAATCTCAGATAGTCCCAAAAGAAGGGATACTTCATTTGGCAGGGAGTCAGCAAATGATAGATGTGCACAAACTAGCAACATCATTAAGTCTGCAGCTGAAGAATCACAGAGAGGAAATGATGTCTCCAGAATGCAGAAGGAACTTAGGCATGGAGAGAGCGTGCAGTTGTTGAGAAGGTGGGTAGCTGCTCTCAGAGATATGGTTCCAAAACAGGGAAGGAGCAGAATACAAGGACTCTGGCTTCTCTTTCCTCTTGGGGATTCCACTAGGAATCCAACTGAGATCAACAGGGAGCTGTGGATATGCAGCCTGCAGGCTCACCATCAGGCACAGAGTAGAGCAGGAGAGTAGAAAATGACTCCTCTGGGGCTGCTAGGAGGATTCCAGCACATAGACGCTCAAATCAAAAAGGAATTACATTTCTTTGTGCTGGTGAGTTCTCACATAGTCACTTAAAATCCCAGTCAAATTGTTAGAAAGCCCCATGGCAGGACTTGACCTACATTCCTGATATTCTGCTCTGTGAAGTTCGCCCCTGGAACCCATATTTCCACTTAAAGCTGCCGACAAGGCTGTGACAGATAGGATCACTTGTTCATCTCACTGGACCATAGTTTTTGAGCAGCTCGATCTAAGATAATGGTCTCCTCATTCAGTTACCCAAAGTCCAACTGCTACTTGTAGTCTTTCCAACTTGCTTATTTTTCTTCCCCTTGTTAGCTGTGAGTTTCTTTTTTTCTGGGATCAATGAAAAGAGACAAAGGTAAAGACATGAATTTTCTAGAGGAAAGATTAGAAACCCAAGGAACCCTTCAAATGAGAATGTGGATAACTAAGGGTTCATTTTCATACACTTATCTGTACTGAGAGAAGTTGACTTTTATCACTTTCAGTTCTCACAAACACCTACATCTTTGTTACACTTCTTTGTTAGGCATTTTAAAAATTAAAATCTTCAATCTGTAGTTCCTTTCTTAAAATATAACATTCTTATCTCTGTTAAATTATCTACAGAACTTCTCGCAAAAGGTTTTACTCCTGCTAAATGATCTGTATTTTATTACGTGTGTGTGGGACAAGTGAATTTTATTTCCCCATAAACTGTACTTTTTCTTTGCTATCAAAGGATTTTATTTCTAACATATGTTAGCCCCTATTTTATTCATATCCCAGTTAAGAATTTACTTGTCAGTAGTCCTTACTGGGGATTTTCTCGAAAAAAACTTTGCATTTTTCTCAAGGCCTGATATATGAATATCTGGGCGATGTGCACAATTTTTTTTCAGTGTTTCACTAAATGTCCAGGGACATTTTATAACTAAAAACTTACTAGCTTGTCAGAAGAGCCTCCGAAGTTTCTGTCTCTTCCTGCACTCCTCCCCATCTCATTTCAGAAATGCCCTAATAAAATTTTACAACTGTAAAAGTCAGTCTTTTAGAAAGAAAAGGATAAAAAAATGAAATGCCCACCTAAATTATTTTTTTTGTTTTTTTTGGAGAGGTTTTTCGCTATAGGGCGCGTGCACTCGTCAGATAGAGAGAGATATAGAGACAGAAAGTGAGAAATCACCCCCCAGGGGGGATGGTCACGCCGCAATCCCTTCTCCTCCATTCTCCTCTCAGGATCTTGGGCACGCACGCACATGCGCCCGGCGTGAGTTTTAAGCCACCGGGTCCGGGACGCGAACCGCAGTTGACCACGTGGGAGTCCAGCGACATAGCCATTACGCTAACTGCTGGTTCCCCCCAACTGAGTTATTTTTTTGATTGCTTTAAACAAGGTTGACTTAAAGTTCTATTTTATACTAACAATATCTTTATCTGAAGGACAATCTGATGAGATCATTATTCCTGATCTGAGTGGAAATTAAGTTTTGGTGGCAAACTAAATGTATATAGAAAACCTGATGTTCTGATGTATTCTTTCTTTTTTTTTTTTTTTTTACATAATCCTCTTGTTGGTCTTTGTTTTAATAGGAATCTAGCTTGGAACAAAATTGCCATTATTCACCCCAGTGCATTTTCCACTTTGCCATCCCTAATGAAGCTGTGAGTAATTTTATTACTTATTTATGGCATGTCTATTAAAAACTAGGGACCATCTAGCTAATGAAAACTTTGGGGTTGGACATTGGTGCAGTGATAATGCAATGTTCTGTGAGGCTAACTCACATGGAAAGGTTCTGGGTTTGCATCTGGAGGCTTCTCTGAATACACTGGGCACATGTGTGCCAATGGTCTGGCACTGGCTGAGGCTGGGGGTGGATCACAGCATGAAAATCCTGTTGAGAATCTCTCTCTCCCTCTTTCTTTCACTCTGTATCACAGAAGAAACTTTAAAAAATAAAATAAAAACTTGATTTTGCTAAAAAAAAAAAGTCTGAAATGCACAGTTTGCCTGTCCTCTATGTTCTCCACACCTAGCTGTGTCGGGGATAGGGCGCTCTCCTGCTCCTTCTAGGCTAATGAGCCCTTAAGTGGATAATTGAAGGGCTGGTGTCAGCAATTATTCAAATGGAAAATCTTCCCTTATTTTTTTTTTTTTCTGAGTAATCATGTGAATGGAATAAGAAGTTAATTCAGTTCTAAAGGGCTTCCATTTTATTATTTCCCATCTTGGTTGATAAAAATACCTCTCTATCCTTCTTCCCCCCTTCCCTTTTCATCCCTTGTTCCTTCCTCTCCCCTTCTCTTATCTAATAGAGAAAGAAGAACTGTTCAAACAAAAGTTAGGACTAGGGGAAGGAAGGGGATAAACCTATACTTTTTAGCTCTTACTCCTTATTCAGACAGCATCAAATTCAATGTAGCACCTTCCCCTTCATTTTAGATGTCTCCACCTGGCAAAATGAAGGTGACTGTAAAATAATTTAGATGAAATAAAAACTCTTCCCCCTGCAATTCTGATTGTAAATAGAAAAGTTATCAAGAGCTAAAAGCATCACAGTTACTTTTACCACTAAGAGTAAGGACGCTGCTTAGAAGTTTTTATTGAACGATTTAATCATCTTTAGGTTGCCTTTTTTTTTTCAACATAAACATTTTATGCTAACACAGACTAAAAGCCAATTATTGTTTGATGTTTTGCAGGGACCTATCGTCCAACCTCCTGTCGTCTTTTCCTGTAACTGGGTTACATGGTTTAACTCACTTAAAATTAACAGGAAATCATGCCTTACAGAGCTTGATATCATCTGAAAACTTTCCAGAACTCAAGTGAGTTTGTCATTAAAACTAATAAGATACATTTGTGGTCATGTGAAATAATAGACGTGTTATAGTGGTTTTCTAAATTTATGAGGTCATGAGACCCTTTTGAATTGCATTTCATGCCCTCAAATCCCCCACCCTGGAGCATTGTTAGGACAAGCCCTGAAGCAGGACAATGTGTCTTCCTGACCACGTTTCCTTTCCTTCTCAAAGATGCCTTCCGAAATCACAGAGTTCATGAAAAGAGTTTGGAAACCATTGATCTATAAGACATAAACTAGGACATGGAATTAAATAACATTATAACATTATCGTTCTCTTGTTTACAATTTTTAATTCATCTAGCTTGGGTGTATGTTCTAATAGCATGAACTAACTCAACATTTGAGGAAATAGCACTCTTTAAAGCCTGTTATGTTTATTATGAATAAAAAAATTATCTTGAAATGATACACACACACACAAATATTTTTTTAAACCATAGTGCTTTTTATGTACTTTTAAATAATGGAAGTAATCTAACCCCAGAAGAAAGCTTGGAAAGTAGAAAAGAGAAAAAAAGGAATGAATGTGTGCATACAAATTGTTATATTTTAGTCACTTAAAATTATGTCACAAGCACTTTCAGTGTTGCTACAATTTTCCTAAGTCATTTGTTAACCTTTTTATTGTAGAAAATTTTCTGTCAGTTGAGTGATGAAGTTGCATCACTCAAGTTCACCAGTTATCAACATTACAGAGTGGTCACTTTTAATAACCCTATTGTTTAAGTATCACTGTAATGAACATCTTAATGCATATACCTTATATTTTGGATTATTTATTGGGTCATTGGAAAAGTTATGACACATTCGTGCATAGAAAAACGTATACTAAAAGCCAATTACTGTTGTCTTTTTCAACATATTGTCTAAAATTCAAAGGTAGAAGAATCATTGCATGAAAGAAGATGAGCATAATATTGAATAATCCATTTCTTTTTTTGGGGGGGGAGGTTTTTGCTACAGGGCGTGTGCACTTGTCAGAGAGACAGAAAGACACAAAGCGAGAAATTACCCCACAGGGGGATGGCCCCACCACAATCCCTTCTCCTCCATTCTCCTCTCGGGATCACACGTACACATGCCTGGCGTGAGTTTTAAGCCACCAGGTCCAGGACTTGAACCGCGGTCGACTACAGGGGAGTTCAGCGACATAGACATTACACTAACTGCTGGTCCCAATAATCGATTCCTTTACATGTATGTTTTTTGTTTTGCTTTTGTGTTTTTAAAGGGTTATAGAAATGCCTTATGCTTACCAGTGCTGTGCATTTGGAGTGTGTGAGAACATCTATAAAATTTCCAATCAATGGAATAAAGGTGACAACAGCAGTATGGATGACCTGCATAAGAAAGATACTGGGATGTTTCAGTTTCAAGGTAAGACTTGCTATGTCGTGGTGATGAACTGTGATGGGAAAAGGGTCTTGAAAAGTCGTCAAACAGATCATCTGAACTCCAGACAAGTTCCCTACATAACTATCCCAGCAAGTTGAGAATCAATCCTACTTTTTAAAGATTGCCAGAGAAAAAGAAAGTCCCCACAGGATTCATTCTAAAATCTCATCTGTTCCATAAGTGAATTCTTAATATTTTTATTTATAATTAGATACCCCCTAGCATATATCATCCTCAAGGGTGATTACTAACATCAATATCTCCATACACTTTCTGAAAGGTCCCATCTGTGTGGATATCTTTTTCAAAAAGGCTTCCGAACCTTTTTCTCCAGCAAACCAACTATTTTTATTTTTATGGTCTAGGGGAAAGTAAAAGATATAGGTATTTTAGATTCTTTTGTATTTCAGCAGAAGGGTAGAAGGATCCAACTTCTTATCTAACTAATTCTAAATCATTCTCCCCTGTAACCCCCCACAGGGGTATCTGTCAGGAAGGTGAGATGAGATAATGTCTGTAAAGCTCTTGGCTTTCCTTGAACTAAGACATTACTTAAACGGAGAGCAATGCATCTCAAACCACACCTGTGGTAATAAGGAGGCGCTCAGGCAGCACCCCTCTCCTTTCCCTGCCAACCCTGCAAGTTTCCACAGAGTCTAAACAGACGGGCTTCTCACCTAATAGGCCTTCATGATTTCTTGATTCCAAAGCAAGTGTGATCTGGTCTGTCCACAGATTACTTTAACATTTCTTCCTGATTGCGTATCAGTCTAAGGAACTGCTATCTTGGCCCTTGGGCTCTTTGTTTTAGGCCACAGCATGTATCTCACTCTGGTTCTTGCTTCAGTTTTTCCTCTACCTGCCTCACCTACTCTCAGTATATTTATTTATTCTAAATAAATAAATAAATAAATAAATAAATAAATAAATACATGTCGCACACAAGTAGAGAGCCTACGTTGTGCCAGGCGCTGTTCTAGGACCTGGAAGTACAAGAGAGATAAGGTCCTTCGTGGAGATTATTTTCAAAGGCACCAGTCCTCATCCCTGGGTCACACAGCAGAATGACACAGAGGAAAAGTTCCACACAAGGCCAATTAAATACACATCTCAGGGAAAGTGCGTTCAATGCAGAAACTCCTATTTCATGCATAGCCAAACCTAACACCAAGCAGTTATTTGACCTGTCCTCTGTTATACAGAATTCCCCAGGGAAGACTAAAACATACTGGACTCGATTCTCCCACTGTGCTTAGCGAACACAGCCCAGAATGTCTGCATTACCAGCTTTCAGAATGCTACGAAATAGAATAAAGTGGTTCCTATACCAAATGAAGAGGCCCACAGCCTTTCTCTAATTTAGGCCAGTGCAATTTTGGGTCGTTGTGAGCACCACGAAACAAGAACAGAATGAGAGAACTTCAATGTTATGACCTGGAGTTGAGGGTCCCTCTTCTGCCCCCCAGTTGTGCTAGAGTAGTATGTTATAGTACCTTGGCATCCGAAAGCAACATTAGAATAGACTCGTAAGAAAGCCAGGGCCCAGGGAAAAGCAGGATGGATTTCTTTCAGTTCCCTTCATGAGAGTTCATGTCTTGAGAACAACTTAGGTCTGTTCTTGCTAGGATTTGGACCCTTTAAAAGAGATGACTCAGGGGCTGACGGTGGCACAACAGTAAATGATGGCATTCTGTGAGGTTGACCCACATGGGAAAGTTTCAGGTTCGTGTCTGGCGAGCTCCCGGAACATATCAGGCACATGAGTGCCTGTGTTCTGGGGCTGGTTGAAGCTGGGGTGGATCGTAGCACCCAGACCCTGTTGTGTGTACACTCGTGCACTCGCTCTCTCACAGTCATAGAAGAAATAAGTAAACTTTAAAGAGAGAGACACAGAACTAACAATAATTCCAGGACTTCTCATTCCTGCAGATGAGCGTGACCTTGAAGATTTCCTGCTCGACATTGAGGAAGACCTGAAAGCCCTTCATTCAGTGCAATGTTCGCCTTCCCCAGGTGAGAAAGGAGCCGTTGCCACCACCAACGTTGAGGCCATCAATAACATTGCGACTGTATGCCAATGCAAAATCTGCCACCTTTGTGACTCACTGGTGCCCCCCCCCCCCCCCGCCATGGGAACCTGTAAAATATAAACATTCACTCCCCAAAGTTGCTCTCCATTTACAAACACTTTTGTGGATTACTCTGATTCAGGTTAATAGAAGCTAAAAGAACAAGCATGGATTGGGACGTCAGAAAAGTCATGACACTTTTTTTTTTTTTTTTTGAGAGGTCTTTTCGCTATAGGGCGCGTGCGCTCGCCAGACAGACAGAGAGAGACATAGAGACAGAAAGCGAGAAATCACCTCCCAGGGGGTGTGGTCACGCCGCAATCCCTTCTCCTCCATTCTCCTCTCGGGATCTTGGGCACGTACGCACACGCACCCGGCGTGAGTTTTAAGCCACCGGGTCCGGGACGCGAACCACGGTCGACTACGTGGGAGTCCAGCGACATAGCCATTATGCTAACTGCTGGTTCCCGCATTTTTGCATAGAAAAATACACGACTTTTCTGACAAACCAATAGTTAGAGGCATATATAATTTTTAAATTATATTGGTAATTTTGTCTGAAATAGTATGCTGTAAACTCACTTTGTATTATCACTGATTTTTGAAAGTTGTGTATTATAAGTCATCTCTATATATACTCATTTGGTAAAAGCAAATAATAGTTTATACAAATAAGTTTTTAAAAAAGAAAGAAAGGTATTAAGAAAGGAAGAAAAAGGGGCCAGCAGGTAGAATGTTAGTTAAGGTGCTGGACTCTCACATGGCCAAATGCAGCTTAAGTCCCAGACCTAGTAGCTTTCTTTACTTTCCCCCTCAGTCTCCCTCTGGTCAAATTTTTAAAAATAATAATAATAAATAAAATTAAATAAATAATTCTTTTTTAAAAAAAAGAAAGGAAGGGGGAAAAAAAAGCCCAGAATTGAATGCACTTTGTTTGTCCCATTCCCAAAAATAGGATGGGCCAGTTGCAAAAAAACAACAGGGAAGGGTTGACGCTTTCTGTTTTTTGTGTTTGTTTGTTTTTCAGTTAGTACATGAGAGACAGAGAGAAAGTGACAAAGCACCCTACATGGGGAATGGTCACACTTTAATCCCTTCTCCCCCATTTTTCCCTCCTTTTGTGATTTTGGGACACACACACATTCACCTGGTATGTTTTTCAAGTCTCCAGGTCTGGAACTCAAACCACAAAGCTAGCCATGTGGGATCCAGCCTCCTTTATCACCACACCATTGGCTGGCCAGACATTATATTTTCAAGAGTTAGGTTGTTCCTTGCTCCCTAACATCAAATGTCACTCTACAACTAAGATGAGATTTTTTCATAGGGCCTACCCCATAGCCTAGTGGTTAAGGGAGGGAGATTCCACAAGGTAGACAAATCCCAGCCCTGGTGGCTTGAAAAACATACCAGGTATGGATGTTTGCATGCCCAAAATCCCTACAGGATGGAGAAATGGAAAAGGAATTACGGCATGATCACACCTCATTAGGGGGTGCTCTTTCCATCTCTCTTTCTGATGAGTGCATTCACCTTTGACAATTAAAAAATAATAATTGCTTTTAAAAAAAGATGAAATGTTTAGGGTCAGCAGGTGGCATGGTGGGTGGAGTGTTGGTCTCCCACAATGGCCAACCATGGTTCAAGTCTCAGAACTAGCAACATGCTTTCTCACTTTCCTTCCCTCTCTATATATGTCTTTGTCTAATCATTTATGCCCTATAGCAAATTAAAATAATAATTAATAATAATACATTGTTCTAAAGAAAAAGATGAAGTTTTCATGAAATGCACATTCACATTACCCATACTTCCTTTTCTAGCATTATGGAGTATTTCCCTAGTATTCCCCTTTTCTGCCTGTGAAAACTTATTGAAGCATTCTGGAAAATATAACAAAAAGTCTAGTAAATATGGCTCTTTACCAGCCCCAACACTGGTATATCTTGTCGACCTTCATCAAGAGAATGAAATTTCCCATTTCCAGGTCTCCGTGTGTATCTGGGACCTGAGCACATGATATGCTCACCCAGCCAGTGTTGCCAAGGGTGGGAGGAGATAACGACAGTGGTTTGAGAAAGTAGAGCATGTCACTGTGGATTACTATGGCTGTCATTGGCCTCTGTGTCTTGGTGTCCTAATTAGAAAAACAAAAGAGTAATTTAGCAGAAATTGTAAACCCTAATCTGACGCAATCTTTTTTTTTTTTTTTTTTTCCTGACTTATAGGCCCCTTCAAGCCTTGTGAACACCTGTTTGGTAGCTGGCTGATCAGAATCGGAGTATGGATCATAGCAGTGCTGGCACTGACTTGCAATGCTTTGGTGACTTCAACAGTGTTCCGATCCCCTGTGTACATTTCCTCCATAAAACTGTTAATTGGGGTCATCGCCATGGCCAACTTCCTCATGGGGGTCCCCAGTGCCATGCTGGCTGGCGTTGATGCCTTCACTTTTGGCAGCTTTGCACAACATGGTGCATGGTGGGAGAATGGGGTCAGTTGCCAAGTCGTTGGCTTTTTGTCCATTTTTGCTTCAGAATCATCTGTTTTCTTGCTTACTCTGGCAGCCCTGGAGCGAGGGTTCTCTATAAAATGTTCTGCAAAATTTGAGACCAAAACTCTCTTTGCCAGCCTGAAAGCAATCATTTTGCTCTGCGCTCTGCTGGCCCTGACCATCGCTGTGGTTCCCCTGCTGGGCGGCAGCGAGTACAGTGCTTCTCCGCTCTGCCTGCCCCTGCCCTTCGGGGAGCCCAGCACCACTGGCTACATGGTTGCGCTTGTCTTGCTCAATTCCCTTTGTTTCCTTGTGATGACCATCGCCTACACTAAGCTGTACTGCAATCTGGAAAAGGGAGACCTGGAGAATATTTGGGACTGTGCCATGGTGAAGCACATCGCCCTGTTGCTCTTCACCAACTGCATCCTTTACTGCCCTGTGGCTTTCCTGTCCTTCTCCTCTTTACTAAACCTCACGTTTATCAGTCCTGAAGTGATTAAGTTTATCCTTCTGGTGACTGTCCCACTTCCTGCATGTCTCAATCCCCTTCTCTACATCCTCTTCAACCCCCATTTTAAGGAGGATCTGGGGAGCCTAGGAAAGCAAACCCACTTCTGGACAAGATCAAAACACTCAAGCCTGATGTCTATTAACTCTGACGATGTTGAGAAACAGTCCTGTGACTCCACGCAAGCCTTGGTAACCTTCACCAGTGCCAGCATAGCTTACGACCTGCCTTCCAACTCCATATCATCACCAGCGTATCCAATGACCGAAAGCTGTCATCTTTCATCTGTAGCATTTGTCCCATGTCTCTAATTAATGTGTCAGAGAAAATGTTTTCAACAGTTGAAAACATGAAAATTTGAGATTGGGTACATCAGAGTAGTAACTAAGAAGAACTGAGTTAAAACTTGGTTAAAAACCAAACACACAAACAAACACCTCTCAGCGTGAAAAATCCAAAACCTTACTGATACTTGAGAGTGAACTATAAGTCTAAATGCTGCTTGTATAGTTTTTCCAGCTAAGGGATAGGTCAGTCACAGACCGAAAAGCAAATTGCAAAGTTGTTCAAAAAAGATTCTCCCTGAATTTTTGCATTATCTTTAAATTCACTAATGTAACCTGTGGGGGAAGGGGTGTCGTGTTTACAAAATGGGTTAATTTAGACCCCAAAACTCCTTAAAAGATTATTGGAGGTATTAGGAAAATAAGGATTTTAAATGGCCTATATTCAAAGTGAAGGTTTTGACCCATACAGCTCTTTAATGACAACATGAAGATGTTTTCATCCTCCTTTTCCTTTCCCCAGAGAGGATTCTCATAAGTCACCAATCCCTTGGGTGGACAATGTAAAGCATAATTAACCTACTCATAGTCAGATCATTTTTGGAGATAATAAGGTTTTATGATCAGTTCGAACTGTGCCACCTTCAGTGGAATAAAATTGCTTACAAATATTTTGAAAGGAAAATTGACCAAAATTCTTATATTGTTACTAAAGTAATCATGTACATGTGAAGTTTTCTTCTTTCATTCATTTTTAACTTCTGGTGTTCAAAGCTTAGAAAGAACGTCCATTGCTGGCAATGGATGTACCTAGAAAAGATAATAAGCCACCTGGGATTATTTTGTTTTGTTTTTCCTGGTTGAGTGCAAATTTTTTGCAGAAGGTTTTATTATTTGGTTCAAACCAATGTACATCTTAAGATAATGATAAAATGCAAACACAGCATAGATTCCGTCCACTGACGTAGGTTCTCACACACATTTCTCTAGAGCTCTCTCTAGCAACCATGTTTGACACTACTTTGGACTCAACAAAGACTCAGTAACATATAATCTTGTTTATTTAGCTTGGTTTTAGCTGTGTTCTTTCTGGATCAACCCACTTGATGTCAGGATCATTACTTTGCTGCTTATTCCATGTTAACACATGTGTTAGGTATTTTAAGAGGCAAATTATTAAATATTAAGAATCAAAGGATTGTCTTAACTTCAATTATTCTATATTAGCTTAAATTCAATACATCGAAACCAAAAGGCTGTTAGGTAGATTTATTTTTGTATAAGCATGTTTATTTTGATCAGATGTTTTAACTTGGAATTGAAAAAAATACATTTATGAGATGTTTTATAAGATGTGTAAATATAAAACTGTATTTATTACTACAGTAAAGATTCAGTAACATAAAGGACCATGATAATAAGCCATGTACAGTGGCATATGCTTCCATATATATTGTACTTCTCTGCCCATTTTCTTTAAATTCATTAACTGTATATAATGTATGTAAATACATAGTACTTGTAAATAGATTCCAAATTTGCTTTTCTAGTCAATACAAAATAAATTTGTAATAAACTGCGTGACTATAAAACAGATTATTTTCAAGGGTATCTGTTAAGCCTGCTGGCCAATATATAGTCTCTTAAAAGTTTTTAATTTTTGGTGTATAAGTACGTTTGCTATCTAAGTAGTTGCACTTTAAGATTTTAGGTATATCAGACTTATCTTAAGAAATAAGTCTTGGGACCAGCAGTTAGCGTAATGGCTATGTCGCTGGACTCCCACGTAGTCGACCGCAGTTCGCGTCCCAGACCCGGTGGCTTAAAACTCACGCTGGGCACCAAGATCCTGAGAGGAGACTGGAGGAGAAGGGATTGTGGCGTGGCCATCCCCCCTGGGGGGTGATTTCTCGCTTTCTGTCTCTATGTTTCTCTCTGTCTGTCTGGCAAGCGCAAGCGCCCTATAGCAAAAACCTCTCCAAAAAAAAAAAAAAGAAAGAAAGAAATCTTTCACAAGAACAAACCAAGGTATCTTTACCAACTCCTGAATTGTTTTAACTATGATTTATAACCATTTAGTTATGACACTGGTGAAGTGGATCATCCCTAGTGATAATCTGGATTTTATAGCTGGTGTCTATACTGGGAACAACTTCATTTACAATGTAAAACCAAACTATCAGAAAAAAATATGTGAATAGCAACTCAGTCTTAAATTATTTAAGGTGAATATGCGTTTCCTATAAATTCCTCCTTTAAAGCAAACATTTTATGGCCACATCAAGATCAAAATATGAGGACATGTGATTCCCAGGACATAAAAATATAATATTGTTCCCCTTCAGTTTCCATTCCTGAAACATGAGAAATGAAATTATTTTTCTAGATATCTGTGCCAGCTCTACCAATTTCAACGGTGATTCCTGCTCTTCCCATATGGGTTGCAAAATGAAACCATCAGGTTCTAGTAGGAAGCCCAGCAATATTGCCAAAATTTCACATTTACAGAGAACTTCCAGGGTACCCGGGACTGAGTTTCTCTCCCATCCATCTGTCTGGCAAGCGCAAGCGCCCTATAGCAAAAACCTCTCCAAAAAAAAAAAAAAGAAAGAAAGAAATCTTTCACAAGAACAAACCAAGGTATCTTTACCAACTCCTGAATTGTTTTAACTATGATTTATAACCATTTAGTTATGACACTGGTGAAGTGGATCATCCCTAGTGATAATCTGGATTTTATAGCTGGTGTCTATACTGGGAACAACTTCATTTACAATGTAAAACCAAACTATCAGAAAAAAATATGTGAATAGCAACTCAGTCTTAAATTATTTAAGGTGAATATGCGTTTCCTATAAATTCCTCCTTTAAAGCAAACATTTTATGGCCACATCAAGATCAAAATATGAGGACATGTGATTCCCAGGACATAAAAATATAATATTGTTCCCCTTCAGTTTCCATTCCTGAAACATGAGAAATGAAATTATTTTTCTAGATATCTGTGCCAGCTCTACCAATTTCAACGGTGATTCCTGCTCTTCCCATATGGGTTGCAAAATGAAACCATCAGGTTCTAGTAGGAAGCCCAGCAATATTGCCAAAATTTCACATTTACAGAGAACTTCCAGGGTACCCGGGACTGAGTTTCTCTCCCATCCATCACACTTAACCACATGCTTTAGCCTACACTTGGGTAACAGGTATTCAGTAGGATCTATTAAACAGATTGCCTGGGTTGGCCCAGTGGCACAGCAGGTAAGTGTTCATGACCCACTGAGGTTCTCATCCCAGTTGTGTGGCTTGGAAAAAATGCCAGGAGCATGTGCACCTGTGACCAAAATTCTGACGGGAAGGAGCACTGGAGGAAAGGGCATTACAGCATGACCAGCATGACCAGGTCAGGCCCATTTAGGAGCATATGCACTCTCTCTTTCACACACATGAATTTGTCCTCTTGCATTAAAACAAATAAAACACCCATAAATTGCTGGGCTCTACTCCTAGAATTTCAGATTCAGTAAGACTGAAGTGAGACCTGAGAATGTGAATTCCTAACAGGTTCCCAGAGACCACACTTTGAAAATCGCCAGTGTAGGTAGCCATTAAAAGAAATATTTCTGAGGGAGCTGGGCAGTGGTGCAGTAGTAAAACATGATGCTCTATGAGGCTGACCAACACAGGAGGGCTCCAGGTTCATATTCAAAGACTTCTCTGGACATGATCTGAGGTTGGCTGGGGCTGGGGAGAGGTTGCAACATCAGAACCCTGTTGAGGGTGCTACCTGTCTCTCTTGTCTTACTCAGGGAAGAGATAAATGAACTTAAAAAAGAAAGGAAGGAATGTTTCTTTTCTTTTTTTTTTTTTTTTTGGAGAGGTTTTTTCGCTATAGGGCGCGTGCACTCGCCAGACAGACAGAGAGAGACATAGAGACAGAAAGCGAGAGATCACCCCCCAGGGAGGATGGTCACGCCGCAATCCCTTCTCCTCCATTCTCCTCTCGGGATCTTGGGCACGCACGCACACGTGCCCGGCGTGAGTTTTAAGCCACCAGGTCTGGGACGCGAACGCGGTCGACTATGTGGGAGTCCAGTGACATAGCCATTATGCTAACTGCTGGTTCCCAGGAAGGAATGTTTCTGAGACTCAACTCCACCACTTACTAGACGAATGGTCTTGGGCAAGTTAACAAACCTTTATGTTATAGTCTCCTCATCTACAAAATGTGGATGATAACAAGACCCACTTCATAGGTTTATGTCTAATTAATGATGTAACATACATAAGGCACCTAGCTCATCACCTGGCATGGGTCAAGTCCTCACAATAGCTCTTAGGATATGCTGGCTTTTCCAGACAAGTGTCTAGTTTTATAGTTTATAATTATTAAATAATGTTTATGGTTATTAAACTATATTTAATGATAAAATAATAGCAATTATCAGTACAAGGTGTTCCTCATTCTTGACACTCTCTTCTCTGTAGAGGCAGTTCCACTGATGTCATTCTCCTAGTCTTTCAGTAGACTGTCTTCTCCTAGGGGAGCAGAAACGATCAGTCCCATTGGAGAATTTGGGATAGGAATCTGGCCTCTTCCTCTGCTCAAATTTTAGAGCTAGGTTGTCCACAGAAACCATCAGAAGATGCTATATATGAAGAATAGCCCCCCCCCCAAGCACCAGATATGTTGATTCCTTAATCATGGACTTCCCAGCTTCCAGAATTGTGTGAAATGTTTGTTTTATAAGCTACTCAGTTTATGGTATTTTTGTTAAAAAGCCTGAACACACTAAGACACCAAAAAAGTCAAAAACTATAAAAATCAAAAAAATATAAAATAGGGGACCAGCAGATGGCATAATGATTATGTTGCTGGATTCTCACATGGCAAACCGTGGTTCAAGTCCTGGACCCAGCAGCTTGAAACTCATGCCAGGTATGTGTGCATGCATACCCCAAATCCTGAAAAGATAATGGAGAAGGGATTGTGGTGTGGCCATTCCCCCTGGGGGGTGGTTTCTCAATTTCTCTCTCTCTCTGGTGAGCGCATATGCCCTATAGCAAAAATCTCTCTAAAAAGAAAGTGGGGACCAGCAGTTAGCGTAATGGCTATGTCGCTGGACTCCCATGTAGTTGACTGTGGTTCGAGTCCCAGACCCGGTGGCTTAAACTCACGCTGGGCCAGTGTGCGTGTGTGCCCAAGATCCCGAGAGGAGAATGGAGAAGGGATTGCAGCATGGCCATCCCTCCTGGGGGGTGATTTCTCACTTTCTGTCTCACTGTCTCTGTCGGGCGAGCGCACATGCCCTATAGCAACAACCTCTCCCCACCCCCAAAAAAAGTGTAAAACAGGTTGCAGAGAAATGTTAACTATAGCAAAGATTTTATTTTTATTGGAGGTATATGCTATTCATGTATATCTGATACTTGTCTGATTTCACTTCTCAAATTCTAAAGCTCCACTTCATAGTAAGAAAATGATCTTGTTTGACATTTTGGTCAAAGCTTGCTAACCACTGAGAGGTTTACTGGAAGCAACAATAAGGAAGTGGCCTACAAAAAAAAAAAAAAAAAAAGGAAAAAAAAAAAAACCACACTTGTACTTTTTACACAAGGCTTTTGTCCTAACAAGAGCAGAGTTGACCCTCTGGGTTACAGAGGGGCCTTTGATCTAAAGTAGACCAAATGTCATCGTTTATGATTAACATAACTTTATTTCCCAATGGAAAAACAAGAATTCTTGATATGTTGCTTTGTTATGATAATTAGAAAAAGGTTGTGCAGTTGATTTTGATTCCACTACAATCTCTGGAATATTCAGAGATTTCTCTCTGGATACCTTTGTAATGAAAGGCTTAAATATTTTTCATATATTACTGAAGGTATTTATTGCAGCCAAAATTCAGTAGAGATGACAAAAATAACTCTTCTATACAATTCATGGTGGCAACTATCTACCATGGGATGTAGAGTGTTTTTATATACCTGGTTGAGAATGAGAGCTCTCAGAAGGTGAAAATGCACAGAGCTGATTAAAAAGCAAGTGGTATTACCTGAAGTGGAAGGATGACGTCTCATTTGAAAGGGAAATGGTACTGAAGTGATGGAAGTTGATTTCTCTGTTTGCAGATCTGTTGATAAGAGGAGCTGCAAGTTTCTCCAACACTCAGTCATATTCATCCTTCATTACTTCTTTAGCTTTAGATCAGAAAGGCCAAGCTTTGATATGGGCAGGTGAGTCAACAGATAGAGCTTGTTTACAGCAGTCAGCTTGACCATTTTCAAGTAAAACATACTTCCCTGCCCTTTTTTTAAAAATTATTTAATTTGCCAAAGGGTATATGCACTTGCCAGAGACAGAGAGACAGAAAGGTAGAGAAAGAAAGCACACCCACCCCAATGGGGTGTGGTCACCCCACAATCCCTTCTCCACCATTTCTTTTTTTTGCTTTTTGAAGAATTATTTAGGGACCAGCAGTTAGCATAATGGCTATTTCACTGAGCTCCCATGTAGTCGACCGCAGTTCGAGTCCCAGACCCAGTGGCTTAAACTCACGCTGGGCGCATGTGTGTGC